GCATACAACGTTAAACTATTATGGTTATCCTCAATACTTAGTGCAAGCCTCGAGGTGAATACCCCATCCAATTGTCCAATGTAATGAATATTCCATAACATTATATGCCTATATAGGTACTATTTTAACATTTGGTTTGAACATTTAATTGTAACCCAATACGATTTCGTAAAATAATACGAGTACGCTGTTCGTCAAAATATGATGCATCTTTATCGACAACATTTCTTTGAAATAGGTAGGTAGTATTAAGATGTTTGACCGAAAATTGTATTGTTAATTTCTATATTTCTTTATATTAATATGTTGTCGGTACTTGGTGTGGTATTTCTACATTCCACTTAGGTAGTTAGACATATATACCTTATTCCTACACTCGTCTATACATAATGTAACATAATGATTATTAGGGGACAAACGATGTCAAATTTGAATTCAGCTTTTCGTCTTATTATTTTTGATCATAATATGACATTATCGAAGGCCGTTTAGCTCATTTGCACATGACTTATACACGCTTTGCGTAGTTGTTCGAACTATCCGGTTAGACGGTTTTATAACATTTTATTCCCCGTCTGCAAGACATTCAATCTCAACAAAAATACAAATTGTCGGCAGCCACTTAGTTAAGCAAACACATCCTTCAGTGCACATCCGAATCATTCTATCCGTTTCTCTTTCTCCCTCGTCCACAATTAATATGACACTTGGATAACAAGTGTATATATCATACATTATAGTTATTTACCCACGTTTACATATATATATATATATATAGATTGTTGTACGTATTTACAATATACACGACGTGTAATATCATGTACAACGTACATGTATGTATAATATTATATGTGTAACTACACAGACTTTGAGAACCGACCAGAGGTAATTTCTCTCCGTTCGGCGATTTAGAACAAGGCGAACACTGTTCGTCTGAGTGCACACGGTCGCACAATCGCAATCCACCGTCGCCGCCGCCCCTATATCATGTACAATATATTATACTCGTGTATGTATGTATGCTATACATATTATATATATAAATATTGTCACAGATTTTATTGTCGCACACGCGTGTCACACGCCTCACGAGTCATACATACGTGTGACGGATCAATGGACGTTGCGCGTACGCAGAAATCCGCTCTCCGACACATTGTTTTCCTCCCCGAAATGCTGTCAATATATAATATAATATTATAATATCGCACAACGGCGCATATCACACTCACACGTAAGTGGGCATGTGTGTGTCTATGTATTGTTAAACTGTTACAGTGACTGAGTTACTGCGCTGCTTAGCCGTTCAGGTAGATATTAGTTAATAATTAACACGATACGTCATCATCGCAATATGCCTCATATATTCTGGTAAGACTGTACGAGTACATTTTTATCGTTCCTAAAAGACCAAATTGTAGTGCCCTCCGCCTTCGAACGTAACCCGCAGTAGTCACTATCACTATATTATAATGCATTATAATTTGGCTTCGTTGTTATGGAAATATTTTTCTTTATAAACTCTATATGACATTGAAAACGGATATGTTACTGATGTACAATTATATTTATAGACATACGACATACACATTATCTGAATAATATACAGCCAACATAATATTTCTCTATAAAAAGCTCTTTAAATTTAAAAATGATAAAATTGTCAAATAAGAATGTACTTTAATATAATATATATATTATGACTGATGTGTTGTCACATAGTTAGTAACGAAAGTATGCAGCATTTAAGAGTTTGCTAAATTCAAGATCAATTAAAATATTATCTGAATTACCTGACGCATGATGGCTATTGGCTAATATTAAACAAGAATAAAAATGTATTTTTTCGTATTAAAAAAAAATAATAAAAGTTAAATATGACAAATAATACTAATGAGTAAAAAAATAAAATAGTTTTGCTTACGTTACTAAATCAGTTTGAATTTTATAAAAATCTGCAAATTCTAATAAATTCGTTTTCTGATAAATTACTAATCTGATTTACTATGGCTATTTATATTTAGTTGTTACATGAACAAAATTCGGACAATGCACATAATATAGGGAGGTGCATTCTCCTATTTTATCATTAAAATTGGATATGGCTCATTAAACTCCGTAATCTGTTTCAGGAACTGAAAGCATAATAAATATTAAAATATAAAAAGCGCACAATGGTTTTGATTTTTCATACGTATCATCGTCATATTTTGTCAATTTTAATCACTTTAATGATTTTTTGTTTTCGTTTATTTATTATCCACCCACACAATACATTTTCTACAAAGTTTTTACTTTGTTTTCTTATATCACATTATTTATTATTTAATGAGGCGAAAAATTGTTTTAATAATTTATACGCTGTTGTTCAGCATTAACTGATGTGCACTGTAAAACCATTCGATCTGCCACTAAATTACATGCAATATAATATGGACACATATTAGGTATATAATATATATTATAAATAGGCTTCTGTCAAAACTTGTCCCTCGTTGCATATAATATAGGTACACTACACGAGAAACATTATATTATTGGAATCGTATTAAAACGATTCGATTTCAAACACATTTCCGTTTATATAATAATATAATATACAAGTGAATACTATTATAATATTGTGTACATTATGCATCACGTTATTCCGACGGAGAGTTTTTTTCCACAAAAAAGGTATACGCAATATCAATTAGGTGTACTGTCGGCTGAGCACCTAATTCCATGTTTTAATATAATTATGAAAATGTATTAATTTTCAATTATGAAAAAGGCATCAAGAATCTCCGTGCTGGTTTGGAAGCGGTTTTAGCGAAAAAAAAAAAACAATTTAAACGAAAAACGTTCTTCTCGAGAGCCATATACAATATACATATATATATAAACTCAAGTCTCGTCGTATATATATATATACTATGTACACTATACCAAGCTGCCGCCCGGAGGCAGTAAAATGGTGGTCTTTCGTTGTTAATTTTCGCTGAACGCGGGGCCGCCCCACCGCTGAAGCTCGTTACCTCTCCTCTACCACCGCCGGCGGATATGCGACCTCGTATATTACACTTGTTATTTAACTGCAGCGCGTATTTATTATATATATATATATATATATAAAAACATCCCTGCCTGCCGGGTCCGCGTTGTTTTTATCCCGTAGGATTTATGTCTCCGCTGTCACTGGCAATTCACCCCGTGTGTATATATATATATGAAAACCAGTATCATAGTAATATATATATATTATATATAATATATAAACTCACTATCCTTCACTCTTCTCTCGTGTATATATGAGTAATTCCTTTTTTTCCCTCCCCTGCGCGTTCGGTCTAGGGTACATAGCGCCTCAGAGTGCGTCTCTCCGACTAGGATATGTTACCACTACCCTGCTGCGGAAGTAGTGTCGTAACCAGATTAAAATTTTCGTCAAACCTGAAGGCCATCGTGACGGTAGTTAAGAATTCCGTCGTTGTAATTCGCTCGTGTCACTGAGTCGGCTTTTAATAATACAATACTGTATTATAGTATAAACTGCGTTTTTGTTCATGATGACTGTATTATTATATCATAAGTCATAACGATAATATTGCAAGCGGAAATGTCCACGCGTGAAGGTATAATTGTCGTATTTATCGGATATTGCGGTATTTTTTTTTTAATTCAAAAATACAGCTTTGTTCGTATTATAAATTTAAAATACGAAAATTTAAAATTTAATGTTATAACCTGCAACTAGTAATGAAATACATTTTGGATTTATGGAGAATTAAATCTCTAAACAATTATACGGAATTTAGTGACTCTCCGTCTCTATTCTGTTGGTGTGCAGGAGTTGGTGTGCAGGAGGTATGAGTAATAATAATATGTATTATAAAAAAAAAAAATAGACGAATAAAAGAAACTCTGGTTATCAGCGGAGCTGAAAAACAAACAAATATTCTCCATCCCCCTTTTCTTTTACTTTTAATTTTAAAAAGCTCGCAATTACTGCACATAAAACAACTAGAAAATATTGCAGTGTGCGCGCAACAACCCCGTCGACCCTGTTTTCCTTTTATTTTTTCTAAACGCTCTCCTTTAGCTCAAAATGTTTGTTTTATTATGTTTGCTCAATGACTTGGCCAGCCAATACTTCATTATACGGCGGCGGCGGCAGCGGTCGGTGCCACCCTTCGGCCTGTCCCGCCGCCGTCGCATTTGTCCAAATTAACACACCGATTTGCGCACGGACAATGCATGCGGACTGATTAAAACAAATTTTTTTCCTCCTCCCACCACCGCCGTCGTCGTAGCGATTTCTCCAGTCGACCGCGTCTCTTCATTCTTATATATATATATTATAACACGCGTGTTTACACGCGATAATCAAAACGTACGCACGTTGAATATAATACACGACTGAGCGTAACAATAATAATAATTGCACTCGATGACGACGATAATAATAATAATAATAATAATAATAATAACCCAGAACATTGTCACGAAAATTAAATTTAAAAACGCATACATACATACAGTGTTAGCTGTTTAGGACGGGTCACGTGATTCCAGCAGAATTCATCAAATAACAGACATATAGTCGTATATCATGTCACAGGTTATAAGTCTTCTTAACGAGATTTTAAAATGTGTGATATAACTGAGCTAAATCTAAAATAAAAATTTTAAAATATAAAATTACATTCGAGTTTTTATGTTATGGTATAGGACAAAAATGTTACCTATATAGATGTTAGGTTTGTTACCTATTCGAACCTTTTAAAAAATAATTTTGAAAGGACACATAGGTACACGTGGGTTTTAAGGAGACTTAATATTTATTCCTTCGACTTACAAGTCATCCTCTAATAATATTATATTAAAATATAGGTACCTATGTTAAATTATAACAACAATATAATATGTATTTCCCAAAATGATACACCATAAGTCGGCTGTGACAATAAACTAAAATCATATGTCATCTTAGTATTAAAAATACCGCATTTTTCTCGCAGGTGTCGTCCATCAACCGGGTGCTGAGGAACTTGGCCGCACAAAAGGAACACCAGGCCTCGTCGACGCACCAGCCGGGCGGTGGAAATGGCCTGAGCGGTGGTGGCGGTATCGGTGGCGGTGGCGGCGCGGCCGAGTCTGTGTATGACAAGCTTCGCATGTTCAACGGACAAACGGGTTGGCCATGGTATGCAGCACCGCCACCACCACCACCACCATCGTCTGGCGGCCCACCCGTGCACGGCGGCGCGCCGTCACCGCACCACCCGGCGCTGGTCGGCTCGGCTGGCCACCATCCGGGAAACCCAGCGGCCGCCTCTCTGGCCACGGCCACCACGGCGTCACTCACCGCCGTGTCCAGGGACGATATCCAGAGGAGAGGTGAGCACCGCCGACAAAGATCGGTCATTTTTATTTTTATTCTCTCTAATGTGAGACGATTCATTATTTTCTAGTTCGCATTTTGTATTTTTGAAATAAATATTTTCTAATTAAATCTTAAGAAAGCTTAGAGAGTATAAGTTATTACAGCTAGGGTTTAAATTAAATAACGTTTTTACAAAGACATTGATTTACTTTTTAAGTCCATTTTGCCTTTTAATGGCCTATATTTTATATCAACTCGTATTCATATTTTTTGATTCTGAATATTTATCTACAAATATTAGTCATCAAATTGAAGTATATATAAATACATTTTATTGACTGAGAATATAAGTATATGGGCCTACGTTAAAAGAATCATCCTGTATAATAGAGTGTTAGAGCTTGTGAGTTTTTAATCAGTTTTCTTTTCACGCCTTCGAAGTCTTAACTGAACTCTGCAGGCTTCACTGCATACTTTTATTATAGGTACAGTTATTGTTTTTATTACATCCCAACGATTTTAGCATTCAGCGACGTGATGAATAAACGTTTTATATAAAGTTTACGTGTATATATATTATATTATACATGTATTGTCAAAAAACTTTTAAGCAAAGTTTTTTCTTCTTTTCTTCTCGCTATATTAATGGAATAATTTATTGTTTTAAAATAATTTATAGATTAATTAGTAACTACAAAATGTGTACTCTATATAAATACAGTTGTAGGTGTATTGATTCATTTATATTTAAAACTAATCGAGTTATGCAAAATTCACTATGGAATAATACGATTACACTTTACACGATTATATATTATTATAAATTCTGATTGTTGTTGGACTCGTACACATTTAACAAATTTTATGATAAAAATACCGTCCTTGTGACTGGTTGTTGAGAAAGACATTTATCGAAAAAATATTATAATACAGTGAAAAGCAATTAATTTTAGCAAAAACTTAAAATATTTCCCTCTATTTTTTCTCAATATTTCCATTATTGCGTTAGTATGTATATTCAATCTACAACTACTTTTTTTTTTAAGAGGAATTCCACGCGCAATTATATACGCTGCGTTTAACATGCTTTTTTAACACATAAAAGGATAACACACACACAGACGTATCAACCTTTGAAACATATTATTATATCGTGGCCCCTTCTTTAAATTACTATTTTTTTCCCCATGAAGTGATTTAAGAGCATAAAATGTATAACACTTTATACTCAAACCGAATTTAAAGCATAACCCTCGAGGTCCACAATAAATAATAATACGTATACATACGAAGTTTTTTTGTGAATTATATTTTGTCGTTTACCTTTAAGTTTTTAATGAGTAAAAATAACTATTTTAATTTTAATGTAGGTACATTTTTAGACCAATAAAATGTGAAACTTTAATAATAATTAATTGCAATAAACAATTAAATTTATAGTCAAAGTATTAAAATGTATCAATTTATGACTTAGGCACTTCATTTAAATTAAATATATGTTGTGATTTACGGCATTAATTTCTGTACACAATATATTATTGTGTTACATAATAATATGACATAATATTCAGAATAATTTTTTTAGTATGTTTAGTTGCCTATACGAAAAACAGTAACGGCCCAATAATTATATGATTTCGGAATAAAAATGTTATTCTTTAATGGTATATAATATAGGTTTATTACATATTATTATAACCGTATCATCTAAGAAAATATAAATTAAAACCTCTTGGTCGTGGTTCAAAACTTTTATTCAGATTTCATCTAAAATGTTGTCTCTATAATCGTGGCCCGTAGGCGCAACGTTTAATTTTTAAGAGCAAACAATAATATGACTTATGATACAACATTTTACGATTATTGTTGTAATAGGTTCTCCAAGCCCATCTCCAATGATTCCGCTTTTTGTATAGGTGTCCGTTATACAGAGGTTTGAGGGCGGAAGCGTCGTGTACCTACACAATAATACTTATATAACAATAATATAATAACAACATAAAAATGAAGTTTGGCCGCGTGCCGATTCTTTTGTTTTCGCGAGCGCGCGAGATCGGCGGTGGCGGGCCACCCTCGTCGCAGACCGATCGAAATCCGGTTACGCGCGTCGGCCGCCGATTTTCCGGGAACAGCGAGGGAGCCCTCACCTCCACCACCACCACCACCATCACCACCACCACCACCACCTACCCTCCGGCTGTCCACCAAACCACCACCGTCACTCGTCCCTCTTCTGCAACTGTGCAATACGCGCAGACTGCAGCAGCTGCGGCGCCCTATCGCCGTCGCCACAACGGGACGACCAACGGTGTCGGTGCCGGCGGAGGGGAGGGTGGGCAGGCCTTCCGGACCGGCGCGCAACCGCCACCATCGCCTGCCGACCCGTCGTCTGTCCCCTCGAGAGTTCCGATAGGCCCGTACCGGACCGCCCTCCACGGTCCCTTCGACCGGGACCGCCGCTGCCGTGAGGGTTATTTCACGCAACTCGCGCACACGCACGCACACCCAAGCGGTTACACGTGTGCCCGCACCCTTCACTCACACACACACACACACACACACACACACACGACCGATTGATCGCGTCGCCCGCTATGTAACCCGCCTGTGTGTGTATATACCTCACCTTTATATATATTATAATTATGTACCCTCCGCTGGCGGATCGCGCGAGAGCCGATCAAAATCGAAAGCGGAACAAAACGCCTATAAAACCCGTGTAAAGGCACCTATACTATATGTTATTGTTATCATTATTATTATAATGCGTACACGCAAAACGATAATATTACATCATTTACATCGTAATAATATAAAATGCGTTATATTATAATGTGGCCATGACATAATAGTACCAATATTAACCAATATTTTTATTGCTGGCCGCAGGATCAGTTTATATTTTTTATAATATATTTAATTAATTTGAATCATCTAACTACGACTGCCGAAACCCGATTTAATGTAATTTAATACTCAGAGATCGGATACCGTTACCAATAGAGAGAATCGAATTTTTCATGACCTACGAATATGACACTATGGCAGTATTCAATATAAATACTTTATATAAGTGAACAACTAGGTACTCTATTAGTTATTAGGTTCCCGACTTCCCGATTCTCCAGTATGTTTTTTAAACGAATTTAGCTGAATTCGAATTGGCGTGTTTCAGCTGCTGAAATGGCACCGGAGAGCACGTCCGATGGCAACTCGGAGCACAATTCGTCGGCGGACGACGATTCGCAACTAAGACTTAGACTGAAAAGGAAACTACAAAGAAACAGGACTAGTTTCACCAACGACCAAATAGACAGCTTAGAAAAAGGTTAGTTATAGGTGGTCAACATACGTATAAAACACCAAAATCATAAATCGTTGAATTCGTGAGGCAGAGTATATATCATGAAATCTGAATTACACAAGATGGATATAGTTCTGTGCTTTGAAATCCATGGCACTTTCTCTGCTACCGACCGAATTTTGTTTATCTGGCCATACTTATAATAATATAGATTTGGAAGTTGAAACCGGATTAGGAATTTTTATTTAAAAGATTTAATACTCATCATCGACCTAAGCAATCCACATATTCGGTATATATTAACATCAAACTGCAGTGTATCGTATTTGCAGGCAATCGATATTATTATTAAATTATGCATCATAATATTAAATTCATTAAATAATCGAATATATTTTTCTGAGGTTTTAGTTTCTCGTCGTGACAATATCCATTAATCATTTACCCTTGTCGGTCTACATAATATGTATGTATACTATAAGAATAAAGAGTTGTTGTTGTTGTTGTTGTTGTTGTCAATTGCAATATGCAGTTTGAACGTTAGCGTTCATTATTCGTGAGCTCTTCGCATTGTTAAATTTCTCAACCAACATTAGTCAATCAAACTAACAGTGAAGTGACAATATCCTTGATTAATTTAAATCTGAATGGTGTTCAAAATTAATTTATAATACCCACTACATGTTTTAAACTTCGTTCGGTGCTAAATCGATCAATGTCGTTTAACACTGTACATTTATTGATTTAATAACTATTAGTCTCAATTTCGGATATTACGTAGTAAAGTATTAAACAGTAAGGCTAAACAAAATCTCTAATAAATATTGGCCGTATGATTTGTTTCATGATAAAACATTTTAATTTACAGTATAGGTAAGTCAATGTTTGTTAACCGATATAATATTATAAGCCATAAAGAGCATATCAGCTGATTTTTAGCGAATCGCTTACCTGATGAACACTACCGATTGTAAGTTAACATAATTTAAAGAATTCGGATGTCAATAAATGTATTGATTAGTATAATGACTATGATCTTTTCACAAACAAAATAACCTAATTTGGAACATTTAATCTATGCAGGGATACGAAGGTTAGGTTACCTAATCTGTCATCTGTATAATAATCAGACTATACATTTTCTAGTTATAAAATCTTTTATACTATTTAGTCTATAATCTCATTATAGTCAATCTTCTAAGTTAAAGTGTTCTTTGTTTAGTTTTTTTTGATTTTGATCGGAGCAATGAATGTATTGATTTTGCAATGAATAAATAATGTGTGTTTTTTTATTGTATGATGATGTCTAAAAAAATAAATATTCATACCACAAGTTTTCGAACTTGAGACAATGCTATTCATGAAGTGATATTACTGTATTTAAAAAAAACCTGAGTTTAATTCTACAAATATTTGTTATGAGAGTGTTTGTCTTAACAAAATAGGTTAGGTTATTAAGCGTAGGTACCTATATATTATAATTACATTTATTTTATTTCATTGCACCTAATTCACAAACCAATAACTCGTAAATAATTTAAATTTTCAGCAAATGTTTATATTATTATTTTCTACTTATGATATAATTTTCAATTTTTTTCTTAGTTTTTGTTCCCTAGAAATTTATAAAAAATTTGCTAGATTAAATAGCTTGGAAATTTAATATGAGGTTCCTCATAGTAAATTATTCATACTGGAACCAAAAAAATTCAAAGATATGCATAACCAAAATTTTTCTTATAGATATATTTTTAAGTTCAAATATCGACGAAATTTTATATTATTACGAATAAATGAACAATAACGATTTAAGCTATTTTGTTGTAATTCATAAATATTCTTCGTGGGTATTTGAAACTTTTACACTTATATATTTACATTTTATATGCACGATTAAATACTATTTATAGTTCATAGTCCTATACTGTATTACTATAAATAGTAAAATAACTTTCAATAATAATTATAAGTAATATAAATGTTATATACCTATATAAGAATAGACCATCTCTGCTTAGAATCGTTTTTTGTATTCAATGATATACCATTAAATTTAAATTTAAAACAACCATTACAGTATAACCTTCTAAATTAAGAGGTACACTTGACTCTTACTATGCAGCAAAGCGGTTTCCCCCTATTTTGTATATTCAATTGCTGTTAATTGTTGTACACGCGTCCTAATGAACTAAAATGTTAATCCAAGGAACACCTTTTCACTTACTTTGACTGTAGTCATATTTAAAGATGATTGTGTCCACTCTTAAACCACCTCTATCTAAATTATTATTTTAGAAGACAAACAAATTTTTAAATAATTGATTTTAACTTTTAATTTGTATCTATCCTATATTATAGGTATTAGTGGTCAAACTAAATTAAACTTATTTCATTACAAAATAATTATAAATAAAATATACCAAAATCCTATTCCCGTACGTACCTACGTTAAATAGTTAAGTTTATAAGTATTTACTTATAACTAAACTCATAAGTCAAAAGTATCTTAGAAGAAATAGTACTCATACTACCTAATTGTAATCTGTCAGTTTTTTCGTCAAGTTATGGTTGTGATCACTTCAAGTGCCCGTGCTGTGCGTATTATACCTAATTGTAATCAAATGTATTCTGCTTTCAGAATTCGAGAGAACACATTATCCGGACGTGTTCGCCAGAGAGAGGCTGGCCGATAACATATCTCTTCCGGAAGCCAGAATTCAGGTAATACTAATAACCGCAAGTTAATTTAATATGTATATTTACTGCTGTGCCCACACCAGCTACATATTATTCAGACGAGACATAAACAAAAACAACACAAAGTTGTATTTTACTAATATAGGTATAACATTGAAATACTTCAGACTTTGAGACAAACAATTTTATTATTCGGGAGTCGCGACGCATTCGTCTTGGACTTAGTTCCGTGTGTAATACTATTATATATTATTGTGTACGTACATTGTTATACGATCCGCGGTGGCGGGGAACGAGTCAGTGAAAATATTATTCGCGGCGATGATTTCCATGCTAGCGACAATGAAAACCACGGGCGATAGGGTGCGAGGTATTGATTTTGAAAAGGGGGGCAACCCCCGCGCACCGGGGTATTGTGTTTGTCCGCGCGTGTGTACGGGTATGTGCGCTCGTGGTTGGCTGCCGCCAGTCGCCGGTGCACCGCTTATATTATATTATATTATATTATATGCGAATAACTGGCATTCCGGTGGCGGCGCGTCGTAGGCGTGAGATGAATTTTCATGCCTTTATAAAAAAAAATAAGGGCGGCCTTTTCCCCCTTTTCCAGGGGGATGTGACGTACGTGTAACAAGACGCTCGGGATAAAAAGAAAACTACAGAAACCATTTGATCATATTATTACCTATTCGAAATAACAAAATTGATATGTACTGCGTGTAAAATAATACAACAATACGGTCGGTTTCTTCGATTTGCGCCGCTTAATTCCGTTTTAATACGATGACGAACAAGGAAAACATCTTCTTCTACAAATCACCTCACCCCCTAGCTACCGCGTACGAGCCCATACACTCCCCCAGGCAATTAAGTTACGACACGAGGACGGGCGTATATATATATATATAGGCCAGTTTGATTTTATTAGCGACGGGTATATTATACTCGTATATACAATATATATATATATTATTATTATATTTATATACGTGCGTTTATATATACATATATATATATACACAGTAAAAATAATCTGTTTGTGCCGAGCAATTGGGGACAGTTCAATTACCGAGAACGTGCCCTCGACCCCTCCACCACCACAGCAATATAATATATATATATATACACTTAGACGCACACTATAGCTGTAATATACCTACTACATGTATTATAGCCGTACGCAGCAGCGGTCCCACGATCACCACCAGTTAGGAAATTGTCCTCTTCGCTGCCGGACATCGGGGGAGAAAAAAAAAGAAAGAGAGAAAAAAAAGAAACTGATTAATCGCGGACCGCCCTCACAACGATAATAAAAACCCATATGTGTGAGTGCGTGTGTGTGTTTGTGTGTACCAGGGGGTGGACATAAATTTAACGAGCACAAAGGGACCGCCGGTTTTTAACTTCCCTCGCGCCGACAATAAATTCAACGACCGTCGCTCGCAACGAGCCTGTTGAACGTTTTCGGTATAGGTAACATTAATAATAAATAATAATACTAACGACGAAGAAAAATAACCTAATTGACGGGACTATAAAATACTCGTTACGTTTGTCGTATAAAAATGATCCATGGTGAGTTTTGCTCGGTCCGAGCCCCAAGCTTACAAATCCTGTATATATTATTATTATATATTATATATTAAACTTTTATAGTATGCTAGCTCTTTATGATTTTATATCACCACATCGCTCATTATTTTAATATTTCCGTAATCATGACTGCGAAATCTTCGTGTTACTTTGATATCAGGTATGAGCATATAATACAATACCATGCATACCGTGGTGTTTGTATTATATAATACCTATATGGCTCTATATGTATTATGTATAGTTATTAAAACTGTATAATTTGCCTCGTGGCATGCGTGTTGCCATTTGGTATGGGTTTATAGATACATATTAATATATCATGTCTAATATTCTAAAAGTGTGTAGTAGACATTATTAGTAGACATTACATAGATCCGAAATGCCCTCTACAGTATATATGTATAATGAATTAGCTATTAAAGTATAAATCAGGCGCAATACGTTCCGAAATATTTAATCAGATCCGGAATAGTCTATGTACATATTGACTTCGAAATTAAATATTCATTGTATTGCGAACTCGTCGAACTTTCGATACGGGCACATAATACAGGGAGCGTATAGCACCTATGTACATATAGTAGTGCGTAACTGTTAATATAAGACTTAGTAAAAAATAATAATTACTCGGCGGGTCCATGTACATTATAATTCGTATATTAAAATACAGTAAAGTTTCAAGGCTCGATAACTCAAATTTTAACTTTCAAGGGGGGTAAAAATAAAATTTGACACATGCATGGCTCGTGTTATAAAAGTACCTCAAATATAACATAAAAGAATTTCAAAGAACAAGAAAAAATAACATGTTATTATAATATGTATTTAGATTTACTGAAACAAATATAGTTATTAAGGATTCAGTATCTGTGACGTACACGGTTATATTATCAGTTTATACAATATGTTGGTTATAATTTTATTGATGCATCTAAACCTAAATATTAGTACCTAATTATAATCAGTGATAATTTTATTATAATCGAACTGGAGCAGGACGTGAGTAAAATGAACATCTTCAACGACCCCTGGCGTCACACAACGGTCGTATTTATTATTATTTATTAAAAAGGAATGATACATGGTACCTTCTATACTTCTGTACATCAGTGGGTGGTATACTAGCCGGCGCAAACGATAATATATACTATAAGGGGCGTTCGTCCGCAACATTAGCGGAATTGAATATTATGTAGGGCAACCGGTCATTAGCTAAATTAGAAACATATACACGAAACCCACCACCGCCTCCATAATAATATGCTCGTCGTAGTTTTCACGGATCGGTGCGTTTGGTGAATGGTCGCACAGTCGAAACGGAATCCGTCGATCCATATGTATACGGGGGCGCACGCTATATATACATTCGTAATAAATCCTAATGGAAACATAAACGATCCGATCCCCATGCGCAGAAAAAAAAGCAAAAACATATGTATACACGACATACATATATCATCCGAAAAAATACAGATACAGAAATAATAACGGATGTACGCTCGCCAAGACGAGTATACACATAATGTTGTATATTGATGCCACAATGGGTTATCGCGTTGACTATTAACCTAATGAAACTTATTCCATAATATTATAGATGTACAAATCATTTATTTTTCGGAATCGATCTATCTCTATAAACGGCTTAATATGTATGAGTTTAGAAATCACTGAAAACTAGATGAATGTACACGAAAGCGGGAACAGTCGTAAAATGTGCAGTTGACGACTGTATTAAACATTTCAATATTATATATATATTATATTATATTATATCTCATGTTAATATATAATACATAGTGTTTACTCAAATCTAATTTTGCTTGTTTGTTATGACCCGTCGGAATATAAATTGAAATCTATGATTGCATTTTTCGTACAGGTATGGTTTAGCAATCGTCGAGCGAAATGGCGACGCGAAGAGAAATTGAGAAACCAGCGCAGGGGTGGTGGCGGTGGAGGTGGTGGAGGAGGAGGCGGAGGACTTGACCAGCAAAACGGTACACCAGCTGCGCTTTCTTCGTCATCCGCGTCCGTAAGTCCGCCGGCCGGCGCCACATCGAATGCGGTTGGTGGAGGCGGCGGCGGGGGCGGTGGAGGCCACAACAACCGGCTGGCGTCGATTCAGGCGGCCGGTTTCAACCACATGTACCAATCCATCTCGCAACCAATCGCTACCATGCCCACCGACAATTACGGGTAAGTCTTTACTATGCTCTCTACAAGGCTTACCGATTTAACGGTTCGAAATACATCGAAATCGCGAAATTTAAAGATTTTTGAAGGAAACTATTAATATACATTTTCTTTTGAACTCAACAATATAACAAGCTCATTGCCCACATTCGTTAATAATCACATTTCTTAACCCGTTTTAATCAAATATTATGATAAAGTAATTTTTAATATGTATAGATATAGCCTATATAGGGATGCATAATATTTCCAACTCAACCTACCTATACATAATTATGTATAATTCGGTAGGGTTTAAAAAGAGTATCCAAATAAAAATATTGATACTTCTTAATAGCGGACATTTCATATTAGAAAATGTTTTCCTTCACATAATTGTATAGGTCTAATGACCGCTCGTCGTTCAGTACCTATAGGTCATTGTGCCGATTCTCACAAATTCGACGTTTTATTTTTCAGTTCCATGTCGAGCATGGTATCCGGTGGACATCATCACCATCACCATCATCACCCGGCCAGCTCGTACCCGTACATGTTCCATCACCCGCCACCGGACTCGCTGTACAACCACCCGGTGTCGTCGTCTCCGCGCGTCCCTTGCCAACCAGCTCCCGCACACTCGGTCAACGCCAACACTCATCCGGCGGCGTATCCCACTTCTACTCATCATGCGTCCAACACGTCACCCGGTGCTACGGGCACAGGTAAACATTTATAATTATTATTATAGTAATTGTATTGACCCTTGACAACATAGGATATTAGTTGTGTGTGGGGGGAGGGAGTTATGATTGGTTGAGATACGCGTGTTTAGAATAATTATTGTTATAATTATCATGGGTGGGAAAGACATAACAACGACGTGTTCAGCCTAATTTATATAATAATATGGCCTTGCAAGTAAAGGATATAGTGTTTTGGCATCAATAAAAAAAGTTTTAAGCACATGTTATAGTTTTTTCAGTTGTCTGCAAAAGCTCAAAACACCTTATTACATAGTGCACTATCGGGTGAGGTTAATTTCTCACTTTTATGGGGCGTAAATTCTCGAGTAACCTAATCAAACAACTTAAATTATTAGCACCTGAACACTCTGAGGAACATGAGAGAATTTAAGTTTAATCGCATGTAACAGTGTAAAGAAGTAATATAACTATACGCATCATTATATTATGTGTTCGTTTTCAACCAAGTCTACAGGTTAACACTATATGTACATAAGTCGTAATATTAAAAATTAAAATACCTTTAAGTTGCAATTAGTGCGAAATGCGATCTACTCCCTCTAATCGAGGAGTTCCGCTGGACTTTTCGCGATTTATTTTGTACATGTTAATATATGTAAATTTTTTCACATATTAGAAATTTCGTGTTTTCAGGCGTAATATCTGCCGGAGTATCGGTACCGGTGCAAATACCATTGAGCCAAGCACCGGAACATACATACTGGTCGAGATTACAGTAAACGAATGACGGTAACTGCTGACGAAATTTATATTATGTACATTACGACGAATATTCTGAGTGATCTAATTTTTATTTTAATAAACGTGAAAGATTTTTAATTGATGTTTGTACCAATGTGCGTACGTGACACATAGTATATATAATATATTATATTGTAAGATATTAAAATATTACGTAATAATATTGATATTATTGTATAAATAAATTGTTCATTATAACCTTATTATTATAACCACATAAACACTATACAGAACAATATATATAAATATTATATATTCATACATAGAATAGTAGAGAGGGATTTAGTCGTCAAATTTTAATTTTGATTCTAATACAGTTTTCTTTTATACTTTGTTTTAATTTCTCGCGTAGTCTTACTGTGTAACAATATTGGAGTCTCGCATATCTCTAATAATAATGTATTATTTTTACGATAAATAGATTCTATAGTAGCTAATAAAGTGATCGAATTTTTCTTTTTTTTTTTTTACTTGTACATTATACAATCTATATTTCTATCGCGACAGGATCTCGTGATTGTTTATAAAAAATGTGTAAAAACAACCATATTATAAATAAATGAGAATCGTAAATAAATATTGTACAACCATGTGGACTTTGTTTATTTTATACCTGTAAAATATACCTGCATGATAATTTATTATTAATTAGTAACACGAACGCCGTCCTTATCTTCGAGATACAGCACAATGAGCTTTTCTAAGAACCTGTTCTTTTTTTCTAACACAAAATATTTGTATACAGATATTATATGGTGAATATATGGTATATATTTTATAAAAACAATTATGAGCGATCTAAACAATTCAGTTTAGAATCATTGTTTTTATTTTTCGTACTCGGAAAAGAACTACATATAGTATTTAGGGTATACAAGTAAGTATTATGGAACACTGCAGTGATTGATTTTTAACCGGGTATGTGTTCTCGTAACACACGCTACATAAAATATTGACATGAATCCGATGAATGCCAAAATTTACTGAAACTCGTGAGGCCCTAGGAATTTTATTATGAGAAAGACGTTATCAATACATCGTTATCTATAGCACATAAGGATAGTATACGATACATGCAGTTTATCGTTATATCTTATATACCTATATATTATAAGCGGAACTTTTGTTTTTAGAGGTTCCCAGTTGCATCATCATCTCATCATGTAATATTTATAACTATACAATTATAGTACACAAGGTCAAGGTGGCTCGGTAAGTATGCTCACCCCTTTTTTCGTTCAAATTCTGAATGATTTTCGGAATTTTTTGTATAGATATCTAAATCGAAATTTGATCGAGTAGTTTTTGAGATCTACCTAAATACAATATACTAGCTATTTAGAAGACTCGGTTCTTAACCTTTAGTAGTTCTTAAAAATAGATTTATTTACAAAAATATGAAATGTATGTTTTAAATATTTTAATCTAGCAAGTACCTAAACATTATACTCAGACAATTTTTACAAATTATAAAATTTTAATAAGTTATACCATTATATAAGCATAATGAGTTTAAAAGTATATTTTAAAAACCTTTTATTATAATGAATCTCTACCGTCCAGTAGTATATTATTATGGTTAGATACTAAAATAACTCAAAACTACTAGCTACATTTTGATTTATGAATACAACGACATTTAAAAAAAAATTCCATCCGTTTAACAAATAACAATTTATAAAAAAAAAATGGTAGTTCTCGTTTTTAAAACAGAAATAAATATCGTTACAATACTTCTTAAATGGTGGTATTCAAGCTCCAAGTACTTTTAAGTACCTATTTGAAAAAATAAATAAAGTAGATTAAGAAGAACCCAGAAAAAATCTGGATGATCTTGCTTGATGGATTACCCTGTATAATAATAGATACCTACATACATCGTAAAAAAGTTATAACGATTTTCAATATGACACTAAACGGTGTTGATCTTAAAGTTTCACTGAGGTTTTGCGATAAACTGTAGAAGTTCTAGATATATTGGAAATTAGGAACATCAGCAAATAATACATAATATACATACAACTAGCTGAATATCCCGGCTTCGCCAGTGTGCATTTTTTTTTGTAGCAGTTATAGTATGTACGCTATATATGAGTACCTTGGTTAGAGTGTATCTCAGTTTTAGTGTACAGCGGACAGATCGGCGTAAATGTACCTTGCTTTGTGAAATAATTTGACCTAGGTGGGCAATCACAAGTCTAGAAGCAATCTGATATTTTCGTCAAATTGAATTGAGTAGTTATTGTATATATGTAATAGCTAAACATATGTATTTGGTTTTAAGGTATAGTTTCCATATTCGAGGCTAAAGCTCGACAATTTTAGCCATGCTTATACCTGATCTATTTGAGTAACCAATGGCAACCATTTATAAACAAAAACATTTTTTATTTAAACCGTGAATCTCAAGACCTTTAAAATGCGAATATCGAAAAATCATTTCTTATTGCACATCTAAATCATTAGATGAACCATTATATTTATTTAAAATTTCAAGTTCGTTCGTATTATAGTTTTTGAGATGTAGCGATAATTATAAGTGATTGAGTGAGTAAGTGGTTCGGCTTATTTATGTACATATATAATTATAACATTCATAAGTACATTCGGAGTTTCAGAGTTATGTTTAGGTATGATTCGTAAACTAAAATGATGATTTGACATCTAATCTATAAACTTATTTAAACTTAGACGAGTTTCCTATTTATTTACTATTTTGGTGGAATATTGCAGATCAGTGGTATTTATTTGAGTTCCGCGTGGATAAATTAGTGAAATAGGTAATGCAAAATTGGTACTAATTGGTTTTGATGACGCTATGTAATAACTATTTGTTAGTACCGGATAATTATTTAGATCGCGTGCAGTAAAAATGTAATAATAATAACAGGTTTAAAAAAAATAGTGTAACATTAAATAAATACTAAATAGTAAATAGTGTATGGAACATTAAAAAAATTTGGAAGCCTTATTTTATTTTATATTATGCTTCATGCTATATCGAATAGTTTTAATAATCATTGTACGTCTACATCACTGAAGTTTATGAAAGTTGAGAACGTTCAGACACTGACTTAAAAAGTAAAGCGGCAATATTGTTATTCATACTTCCGTTGCCAATATGCAACAAAGCAATACAAAATTTAATATAGATTATAATATTATATAGAACTATGAAAATTAAAAATGAACGCTATGTTGGACCAAAACCTGACCAAAAAGTCTTGATTAACCGATTATCAATATATTTATATTAATAATCTATAAATTAAAATTCATATATTTCAAGCTTGAAAATGAACTCATTAATTTAATTTTTTTTAAATAGCTAAATGAATCAATATAATATACGAGTAATAATAATTGTTTTCAAACATATTACACTATTTATATCGCATGAGCAGTATCCTATACAGGATAATTCACTATGCACGCCATTTCTTTTTTTCTTCAATAATGCAGAACTTCCAATGATTTCTTTAATTATTAAATATACCTACTTAAAAACAATATTTTTAAATCCATGAGTTGTTTTGTACTATAGGTATATAAGGAATAAGGAGTATCACAAGAAGTTACAAACTTCTATTTTTAAAATGAGAGCCACCATTTTTACTGTAAATTAATTACAGATATTTTTTCTGAAAATGTTGACGTAATATCTAAAGTCAAATTCAAATGAGTAGTTTTTGAGCCATTAACTTTGTGGGAAAATATATATAAGGCATGATAATTTGCTTAGAAGGGGGGCGGCAACGGTTATTTGAACATTTTAGTAAATAGATAAATTATATCAAAATTATCTTCTAAATAATGTAGATAAAAGTTAGTTAAAATTTGAAAAACAAAAGTTTGTATCGCCACAGTATATTCCTTAAGTAATACAAAAAATCTCGATGGTTTGAAATATGGTCTTTAAGACGTAGGTATATTCAAAAATTCCTTAGGTTTTAAATTTAAAAAATGTAGGTGAGCATGCTTGGTGAATCGTCTTATATATTATAATGCATACGCACTGTATAATTACATCACTCAGCAACATGGTAATGAAGAAAAATTACATGCATCTGATGGTAGGGTATATTATAAAGTGTAACAGTATTAATATACTTTATAGGAAGTATTTATACATTTAGTCATATAGCTGTATAATGTATCATCCCTCGTTATTCAAAACATGTTTTTCAAACTACTCTGTAAACTTAACAACCAACAACAAATATAAATTATAATCCAGTGTTAAACTCGAATATCAAGTATACTCGTTACTCAATGTATAGATTGTGCTTTTAAGAAATTTCAAAAATTTGAAGCTATAGCCTTTACGTATCGTATATTTAAAAATTCAAAAATCAGAGTTTTAATAAATTCATTATTTGAGGAAAAAATAGGGGTGAGCTTGCTTGGTTAATCTGAACCCTGTATAATATCATCTACGCGACAAGTAAATAAAACAACTGTTTTACTTACAACTTACGACTTCTATAATATCAATGGCAGTAAATAATAAATTTACGAGTGTCATCGGTATCATGATTATAGTATATATTATATATTATATATGGTAATGGCGACGTTACAAGAAAAGGTTTTTGTCTGATTGGAAAACCAAAAAAAACAAAACCTAAAGCTATATACGAAACGAGGATTTTCTAACGCGTGCGCGCGCAGAAGAAAGCAGCTAAAAGATACCGAACTAATGAAAAAATGTGAATATACTTCGAAAAGGGCTGACGTGGGGCACAAAAGGGATATTCTATAGGAACGGACGTTGATGGTACCTATATACATACAGACAACATAATAGTAAGCGATGTGTACGGTTATACGACGGAGTGTGGAAATACGAAAAACTGAAAGAGGCTGTGTGGGGCGGGGAGAGGGGGGATGAGGGGTATGACTGCAGGAGTAAAGAATAAGAGGGAAATAATAAAAACAAAAAGGGGGCAGTGTATACGTTTATTATAATAATATGTAACCGACCGATGGATAAAAATATATATATAGGTATACATTTTATGTATGACGGGGGCAGAAAAATTTTAATATTTTTATTTTTATTTAACCGTACGGTATAAGTACAGTGTACACATATTATTATTGTTATGCCGAAGAGAGATGCCATTGTGTTGAACCGTCGTTCGAAAACAATACAAAACGATACATTACATCTGACTATAGAGTATACAGTATATTAGTAAATGTATGTACAGTATGTTGTAGTGTTGTATAGCAACAATGTTGAGTACATTTATGTGTATTATACTACAATTAATGTAATAGTACAATATCTTATATTACACAAAATACCGCAACGTATACGTAGGTACGTAGAAAAAACGATTCGCTCAGCGATTTTACATTTTATAAATATAACAGACCTATATTGCTAGAAATTATAATGACTGCGCAGTACAATACAATAAGTTTATCTCATTCTTTTTTTTTTTTATATAATTCTCGTATAACAAAATGTTTTAAATTAATGTAATACTCAAAATATTCCTCCAAATCGTGAAAGATTTTTAATTTTTACAGTTTTAAGATTTAATCTTGACGTCACGTAATATTATTATTATAACCTTACCTATA